ATATACAGCAGAGTCTGTTTCACAGTATCATGGATTCTTCCTTAGAATTAGGCAGGCTCTCCATGTTTCTCTAGATACATGCAAAGCATTTCCTATGGGGCCTCAGGAACATTAAAAAACCTCTACAAAAACATCAAAGGGAATATTAAGAAGTCCTCCACAAAAATCTGTGTATTTCTCATCCCAGGTACATGATAATGGAAAATATTTGAATGTACACCCAGAAAGGATCTGTCACATTATCTTGTCTATTCTGTGCTTTCAAACAAGCTGACACCAAGCAAGGAGATTCTGCTCCTCTGGGAAGGAGCCTAGTATGCTAAAACCATAAAGGCGGTGAGTCTTCTCAATTTAAACTCTAGTCCCTTTTGCTGTGATTGAATTCCATTTCCATTGTTCTGCTCCTCACCAGCAAAGGAGAACAGCTGGTTATTGTCATCCACAAGTGAATCCCTCAGATGCCTAAAGATGGGGAATTTTGCCAGAATTCCTTGAGATCAACCCCCTTTTGTTAACATGCTGGAGAGTTTCTTACCAAAATCACCCACTGATACTTTTCTGTCACTTCCTCTTTCTTGACGGAGGTAGAAAAAAACTACAAGATGACTGCATTTACCTTTAGACTGAATAAAACCTCCTATGTTCTTCCTCTTCTTCTCCTTCTCTACTTTTTTGGCAGTACTGGGGCTTGAACCCAGGAACACTCAGCCACTGAGCTACATCTTGCTAAGTTGCTGAGGCTAGCCTCCAACTTGCAATCCTCCTGTCTTGGCCTTAGCCTCTGGGATTACAGACAAAAAACTGGCAAAAAACTTCTAAAATTCAGAGAGAAGGAAAAGTGCACAAGGCCACCTCTGGTTCAGTATTTGTCAAACCTGGAAGAGCAAACTAGGAGAGGGTCTGTTAATTTATAGTATTCTATGAAACTCTGTGATGAAGAGAGATTATTTGCATAAATCTGGTTTAAAATAACTCTTTGGAATCTGGCTGCAGTTTTTGCCTGAAGAACATGATTAAGGCTGTATTGAGATTAAAATCAACTTATTTAAGGAGCAGCTGTCAGCAGCATTTTGAGCAGTTGGACTTGGGGGTTTTGAGGTGTTGAAGCTTGAAAAGGGATGTGATGACAGTGAGCGCCAAAGAGGCAGGCAGTGCCCAGACTGCTCTCATTCCTTCTGGCTGGAAGTTAATAATGACAAGGACATGTTATGGCCGAAGGACTGCATGGTGTCTCAAAGGAAACAGGTGTCTTCTGGACTGGTTGAGTGAGCACATTCCTTCTAACTTTCTTCCTCACCTTCAAGTCTTGCAGCCGCCCTGTGTGGTGCAGCCTGCCTTCCTAGACCAGATAATCCTGGAGGTCTGGTTTTACATTAAAACCTCACACCATGTGTCGCTCAATATTTTCATTCCCCTGTTCTGGCCTTTCCTCATTATCTTTTAGAGAAGGCTCTGTGCAGGTGTGTACGCGCACGTGTTGATTGCACACACACACACACACACACACACACACACTCAAACACGAATAAGTTCTTCACTATACCAACTTGGGGGTCCTAAAGTGATCTCATTTCTCCCAAGAGGAAAAAATATCTATCAAGGTGCTCATAAAGCCTATGATACTGTATTTATAACTTTTCTATATTGCTTCATGGTGTGGAACTCTAGTCATCATTTCTTCATTTGTTTAGTTAAGGAAAATTTCAGAGAAGGGTGACTTCTTCAGTCTTGCTTTGCCCCACAAACAGCTGTGTAAAGCCTCAATCCAGCAGTATGGACTTCGGCAGGTGGACTTGGACTCATAGAGAACATTATCTTTCCATGTAGTGTTTCATTAAACAGCCAAGTTCATCCACCAGTGTTCCCGAGATATGTAACTCCCAAGCAAAAGAGATGTGATTTGCCAAGTAAAGAATGGTGATTTATGGTAATAGCTGTTACACTCTGGATCTTATTTGGCTTCGTTTTGAAAAATTATTACCACAATGGTTCTGTAGGATTTAGGAGTATAACCAGCACCGTTTGGCGCATTTATGACAATAGGGTTCTGGTTTTCTTAACTCCACAGTTAAGATGTTGGCAGCATTTCAAATTCTTGGCACAGATGTTTAAGTGAATTTGAGGAAGAAATATTAAAAACAAAATAAAACACCAGGCAGTTTTAAGTATCCAAATGTAAGAAGGAGCATTATTTTCTTAACATGCAGTTAGCATGGAACCATGAACTTGGTAATGGATATAATGGGAAGCATGAAAACCATTTGCAAAGGGCTTTTAGCTTCCCCAGCCCCCACCCCACCACCACTGAGGACCCTATCCCAAATGCATTTCCTATCCATATCTACCAGATAGGATTCAAATTTAGTTGTATCATATCTCTGGAAACAGGGTGGTTTCTGGAGCATCCACGGACAAGCAAGTAGACTCATTCCCACCATTGACTCGTGGGGCCCCAAGAAATGCTGCCACTGTCCCTGGGTTTTGTACTAACAATGCCCACATTCTGGTAAATCAACTTTCTGGAATTATTTCATGTGCACAAGTAGCAAATCTGCTTCCCAGGTTAAGAAGTGAAGGGGAAATAAATAGGATGTAGGGCATGCTGCACTGCCTGCTCTGTTAGTGACTAAAGCAACACTGCATGTCACCAGTGGACAGTGCCTAGACCCAGCTTCCCTGAGCTCCTCATCCAYCAGCAGATTGGGTACACACGCACACACACATTGGAATTGACCCCAGTCTTCTCTACCTCCTCACACCCCAAGTCCATCAACAAAGTAAAACAAAGGTGGGTGTGGTGGCATGTCAGTAATCCCTACTACTCCGGGTCTGAAGTTAGAAGATTGCAAATTCGAGGCCAGCTTGRGCAATGCAGTAAGACCCTCTCTCAAAACAAAAAGGCATGGGGACGTGGCTCAGTGTCAGAGCACGTGTTTTGCAGGAGCAATGCCTTGAGTTCAATCCCCACTACAGCAAAAAAATAAATAAAAATCAACAACAAAAATAATCCAACAAAAGCTAACAAAATCTCCCCCCGCCCCCATGTCCTGGAGAATAATTGAAATGCCTTTCTTAGAGAACACCTTTATAGCTCATAATTAAAAAAAAATCATACACTGTTGAGAGTTATGAGGGACATAATAGATCAATGCCCAAGGTAGGTGGGGAAGATGGGGGCCTCATGGCTGGGGCTACTGGAAACAGAACCATGGTGGGGACAGGGAGAAGCAAATTGCATCATGTTCAAAGTGTGGTCCAGGCTCACCCTTAGAGTATGGGTAAGAAGTTGCTCACTGGCCCTCCACTCAAGACACTAGACAAGCATCGGTAAAGCATGAACATTTATATTTAATTTACATTTTGACAATTTGCACATAAATAATGTAAACCAGTACGTAAACATAAGAGAGTTTGTTGTTCTAGCAAAGTAAAAAGCCAATAACTTTGGTCAGTTTTAACTTTGAGTAGAGGAAAAAAAAACCACTGTTGATTGTGGGCTCAACATTCACATGTAAGAGGCCTAAGAGGGAAAAGACAGATGGCAAGAGAAGCAAGTGGTCCTTAGGAAGATTCTCAAATACAAGAAAGCATGAAAGGAAACCCATGTGTTCATTGAGAATAAAATATTTGGTGTCAACATCAGAATGACGCTTTGGTTTACCTACAATCAAGGACCCTGTCAAACAGATACATCAAAAATTGTCAGTTTTGAGCTGAGGTGTAGCTCAGTGGTATAGAGTGCCTAACATGTAGGAGGCCCTGGCTTCAATCCCAGCACTGCCAAAACACACAAAAAAATCAAAAAACAAACCACAATTGTCAGTCTTGCTAGTCTAGGAATAGATCAGTAAGGCTCTTGGTTTTCCCTGGATTGCTTGAAATCTGTTGTTCTCTCTGCAAGTTGACATTAGTTGATGCGAACAAAATGGTGAATATATAAAAGAATTGAACAGTGATGTGTCAGTATTTAGGAAGGAGGGAAAGGAAAAGAAAGTTTGGTGGTAAAGGAATACTGAGTTGTTTTTTTTTTTTTAAATTTCTGTGACTCGACTGTGACCACATAATCATGATGTGGCAAAACAGAAACATAGCTGTTCCAGATGATCCTTAACAGCAAAAATGATGTATCACTTTCTCCCTGGTTATGTGGCCCTCACCCCTGCACCAAGGCTTCTTGTCTCTGATAACAGGCAAGGGGGTGCCTGAGCACTGATGTGATCGTGAGTGAGGTCCTCAAGTATTAAGCAAAGTCTCAGAAAGAGTTTTTTTTTTTTTTTTTTTTTTGCCCTTAGGAAAAGTAGGTTCTTTTACATGGCTTGGCTCACAATTTAAGTGGTTATAAATATATTATATATACACATGGTATAGTGGTATAAATAGATTTATAAATATACATCAATCTTTGCTACACCTTGAGTGCCAACAGGTAATCTTTGGGCTTAGCAGAGTAAAAGATAGAATGACACAGTCTATCTTTCTGGAGCACACTGACTTGGTTTCTCCTTTGGAGTAGCAAATAAGACATCACTTCCTGCACTACTGAACACACTCAATGAGGTAATTGTTGTTGAACAACTTTGCAATGCCCTTTCATCTTCAATTAAATTAACCATAAAATGCAAAAACACAAATACTGAGGAAAATCTGGGTTGTACAGAAAAAAATTACAATTGATGTGTTGGGGATAGGAATGTCCATTACCCGCTTTTACCCTAAGATGACCAGAATACCCGTTTTTCTGTTTGTATTTTTTAAGTGTGGCCCGAGCCTATCTACTTCAAATCCTTCCTGGTAGAGCACCACATTTGTGCAAATTTGACATAAAAAACAAAAACCAACAACAAAACAACATCTAGACTCAAGCTCCCAAACCTCACACGTACAAAACCACCTGTGCTTCGGGAAAGTTTCTCAGTGGTTTTAAACATGGAATTTTATCTTTCACATTTTCAGATAATACGCTGGGATGCAAAAGTCAGGTGGCCACTCTGAAGGCCAAATGACTTTTGGGGTGGGGTGCAAGGACCCTACTTTTGTGGAGAGACARGTTGAAAAAGACTTCCTGTCACTTTTTTGGTAAAAATAATGACTAGAAAAAAAAATGACGAACTAGGAACAAAACATGACAAGATTCCTTTTCTTGTTCAAATTCTACTCGAGTTATCATTGGGTAGTTCTGCACACACCCCCCATGTTACACAGTGCTGTTCAAATGACATGATCCTATGAATTAACACATCAACTGTCAAACTTTGGCAATACTGAAACCTCATTTTCAGATCATTATTACAGAGAGAGGATGACTGAAGTTATGTATTTGTCTACTAAATCTTAGGTACTTAAACAGCTGTGCAGAAATTATCTACAAAGATGGCCACAAGACAAAATTACAACATTTATACTCAAATTACAAGGAACATTTCCAGTCACTGTAAACTTTTTTAATTATTGCTTTCTGAATGATAAATTGTATAATAAATTATGAAGGATTATCACTGAAAAAATAATTATGGCTAGGCAATAGTCTTAGTAATGGGAAGGCTATGCAAACATATCCACACAAATATTCAAAATACACAGGTTCAAATATATAGATGTGGATGTAAATAAGTATATATAATATGTATACATATATATAGAGAGAGAGTCTTTGCGTCATTTATGCCCTGAGATTTCGGTAACTTTGGAGTCCTTCTTTAATTCCAGAGGTGAGGGGAACCCCCTGCCGCAGGAGAGCTTTGCGGATCTGGAGATACGCATGCGCCATCTGCTACAGGCACCCCGACTCGCAGAGTCAGAACAAGAAACAAAACAAACGCTTGCTTTCTGAAAATCCTAAGGATCCATTGGTTCCACTGTTTCTTGCTTCACCTTTACAGGTACCAGAGGTAGTGGGTTGCTGTGGGGCAACTTCATGAGGGACAGGTCTGATGACTCGTAAAGGCTGCACCCTGAGGAGAGGAGTCCGTTCCCCATGTTTCTTTGCAAAGACACTTTCAGGCCAGTTTCTTCTTTCTCTTTTCTGACCACKGCCAGAATTTCCTTCTCCACCACAGAGGTCACATCGATGTTGTCCTCCATGTCCTCTAGCCGGTCGGCATTGTCACTAATGTCAAACTTCTCGATTTCTTCGTTGATCCGGGTTAGATCCTCCAGGGCCAGTCCAGTGGCTGGGGCTACCGGGCAGTTCCCTTTCAGGTGGACCTTGAGGCTGCAGAGATGGATGTAGCTCTTGTGGCACTGGGCACACTTGTGGGGCCGCTCCCGGGTGTGCAGTCGCTTGTGCAGCTTCAGGTGCACAAACTGGGTGAACTTGGCAGGGCACACCTTGCACTGGTAAGGCTTCTCTCCGGAGTGGAGTCGCAGGTGGGTCTTGAGATTGCTGGTGCTGCTAAATCGCTTGTGGCAGACCTACAGTGTGGGGACAAGGGAGGGCCAAGAAGGGAGAGAGGGAAGAACAGAAGATTAGGAGTTTGCCAGTGGGAGGGACAAGCTGACAGGCCAATGCCCAGTAACCTGGAATTAGGAGCCTCCCCGAGTGTGCCCAATGCAGTGGTGTGGTACTAAGCACACTGGGGACATGGGCACACTGCACATGGTGTGCTATTTACTTCCCTCCCATCTTCCCACCCACTGGCTTTGTCACCCTTGCTGCCAGTCAGCAGGTACAGAGCACCGGGGAGCTCCACAGTCTCAGCCCAAGGTAGGACTCTGGTTTAAATGAAGGGCTATATGACACGAGAAGGCAGCTCCACATATTTTCTACAAAGGTCAAAAGCTCTACCCGGAACACACCACCCACCTGGCATTCATGTGGCTTTTCTCCCGTGTGGACCAGGTAGTGTTTCTGCAGGTGGGCGAGCTGAGTAAAGCCCTTGTTGCAGGTCTGGCATTTGAAAGGCCGTTCTCCACTGTGCACTCTCAGGTGGACCTGGAAGAAGCCACAGGTGTTAGCTCTGCTCTGGCACCTAAGGTTTCTGCTCAAAGACTCGGGTGTTTGTGGTGGAAATGTCTTCAGAAAAGCATCAAGACAAAGTCTTACAGAGAACAAAGCCTTGGGTTTTCAGAATGCTCTCATGGGCCTGAGCTGAAAGAACAGAAGTCTCAGCTTGGCAGGGACTTGACACTGATCTTCTAGCCCAAACCCCACATTTTTATTATTCAGAAGAAACTCAGGCAAAGTAACTTGTCCCAAGCCACAGAACTAGAAGCGGTGAAAGCAAAGGAGAATCCATGCCCACTCGGCCCAGCCCAGGTCTGCCACTGCCGGAAGGCAGTTCCCATGGTGTGGATGTGAGCACGCCGCAGCGCCACGAGGCTTACCTTCAGGTTGGAGAGCTGGCCGAAAGTCTTGGCGCAAACGTTGCACTCATACTTAATCTTGCCATTCTGCTTCTTAAGTGGGTAGGGAAGGGTCTTGTAGCCGGTCATGTTTCTTTTGTTTTTAATGAGATTCATGGCCTCGTCACTGCTGGGGGATGCCATCACCGCTGAGGTAGCTTTGGGTTGTACCACGTGTTCTGACGTGGCGGCTGTTCCCGCCGTGGGAGACCCGCTGGTGGGGCTGCAGGTCTTGTCCTTCATGCTGGCAGCAGCCCCGGTAAGGGAAAAGGCACTGTGGGGTGCTGGGACAAGCACCTCTCTGGGATGCTCAGGCGGAAGCAACCTCCGGGCTCCATCTGAGGGCAGCGAACTTGGGAGAGAAGCTGGGTTGACCATGGAGTGAGGCAGGCTGCCCCCACCAAGGAGGTTACCGTAGACGGGATACAACCTCGGGAAGAGGCCAAAGTTGTTGATGCTGTTGATGTTGCTCATGGTGCTCAAGCCGTTGCAATTCATGCCGTAGGGAGGCAACAGGAACTTGGGGTAGTGGGCATTGTAAGAGGGGATGAAGGCTGGAGGGAGGTGGGGGGCAGGTGCGTATCCTGGGTAAGAGCCCAGACCTTCGGTGCCATAGGGTGTGTTCAAGTAAGTGTAGGAGTCTCGGTGTTCATGAGAGCCAGGGGCCAGGGGCGACACAGTGTTCCCCGGGCTGCTGTGTGGGCTGGAGCTTTTCAGGCTTTGGTCAGGGCTGCTTCTTGCTGAGGGACTTGGAGTTGTGGAAGAAGGGATGGGGGAGTGAGTAATGTAAGTTGGTCTCTCCATCCCATAGGCCAGGGAAGCTTTCCATAAGTCTTCCGGGAGAGGAGCCCGGATGGGGTAAACAACCCGGGGGTAGAAGGGCATATCCGGGCTGCCGTTCTTTCTAAAGCCATYGATGTCCTTGTCTGAAATGTTAGAACGGTAGAAGTCCTTCCCTTTGGAGGGGTTAGAGTCCAATTTTAGGATTTCTTTTACGCTGTACTCTCTCTTTGGGACATTCTTTGGGCAAAGTTCATTTTTCTCAGTACTCGGTTGCTTTGGGTTGCTCTGTGTTTGTGCTGAAATAAAGAAGAAAGGGTGATTACTCAGAGGCCTACAGAGAACCGAAGTGAAATGACCAGAGCTGCTCTGAGCACCACTTGGTGTCACGAATGACAGGCACCCGGCTCCCAACGCCTTCTCACTCAAGAGGGCTCGAGGGCCACCCACTCGGAAGTGCTACTCTTTTTCCTTCTCAGCAAAACAGGGACCATGGCAGCATCTACAGAATAAACAGGGCCATTTGGATGATCTTGTTTCCATTAGTACAAACTTTATGATAGAAAAGTGCTGTTCAAACTGGAACAAGATAGCATTCATCAAAATGGGGTGGAAAAATACTGGGGTGGGGGTTGTCACAGGTTAATAAAAGTCATTCTGATGTTCACAGTTTACCTAAAGGAAATCAGCACGCCCTGCAGCGAGATGTGAAAGATAAAGACTCATTTCAAGTAATAAACAGTCATCAATTTTCAACTTCTTGTTTAATATATGAATTTGATGAAGCCCTATTCAAACTGACTATGCCAAATAAATCAAGGACCTGGATACCACCCCTGATGTGCAATTGGCGGACAGCACAAGCATTTCACCAAGGTTCTGGTCTAACCAGGCTCCCAGCAGTACTGTCCCCTGGAATCACAAGGTGTGACAGTCACTTCTGCCAAACCACAACAGGTACTTCCCGAGCCAGTTCAATTACTTACACCACCAAAGAAAACAGAGGCGGCTGAGAGGGAAGCGTTTATTCCCAAGGATGGCATCTGTTACTCGGTTAATAGACTATTTAGGAACAGGAGCAATGAGGACAGCTCTCGACTGACTATCCATGCCACTGCCAGCCCTGTCACAGGACAAGTGAGGTCTGCAGTCAACATCAGTCAGAGCAGAGAAAACTTAAAACGCCTGCTTAGTCTTTTTCCTGCAACCAAAAGTAAACCAGCAGAGGCTTGGTTGGAGCCCCAGTTGCAGAAGGGCCGTCCCTGAAGCTGGCTCGCCTGCCCTAGGGGAGTGCTGAAGGTGCCTTGAGAAGTAGCAGGGCCCAGGGCCTGGGCATCGGGCTGAGGCCTTCGTAGTAGGATCCCTCCTTGTCCTACAGAATGTTCTGCTGGATCCCACAGAGAAAGCTCTCCAGGCCTGCTACCTGATGGGTCTAGAGATGAACTCTGTGGACCTCAAAAATGGAGCTCTTGAAATCCATTCTCCAGGCTGACAGGCTGAAGGGAGGGATTCCTTCCAGTTGGAGAGCCCCTCAGAGAGTGTTATCTCCTGCTAGCTGTTATCAGTTACTCCTGGGCCAGCCAGAAGCCCCAGAATAAACACCTCGGACAACACTATCAGGGAAGATGCTGATCAGGGGGCAGTGATGGAAAGCTTGTTGAGGGAGAGGATTTCTGAAGTCACTAAACCAAAATAAATATCCCCTTATCAGGCCAATATCAGCCTTTCAGTGAGGCCCAGCAGGCAGGAAGTTCAAATTGTCACTTTTGTTTTTTAAAGCTGAAATGGTAAAGGAAGAGAAAGACAACTAAGCTGGAAAGCTGATAGGTGAGGCATCTCACAGCCGCAGGAAGGAATTTTATGAAGGTGGAGAAAAAAAAAAAGGAATGACTGGGATGCATCTTCAGGCTCAAGTTAACAAAAAAAAAAAAAAAAAAAACTGCCCCCAATAAAATAAAAATACAGAAAATTCATCCGGCTAACTTTGTGTCATCTTTATGCGGCCGAGTACATCTAGTTCTCAATTTTTTCAGTAGCTCCAATACCCCCAGGGTTCTAAAATCCAGTGAGCATGTACATTTAAGTCAATTCCCAGCACTGCCCCCAGATTTAGTCTGTGTTCTTCCTAAGCACCTTAATAGAACTGAATTTAAAAACTGACATGAAGCTAATGTCTTGGACAACCACAAAACACGTGTGTGTGCGCACACACACACACACACACACACAGAGTCAAAATTTCAAATTTTCTATGGAAAATATCTGGCACAGTGCCTGGTGCACATTATATCTACTCTAAATGTTTTCGATCTCTGATGTCTTTGGGAAACAGATCTACACCTTCTTCTGTATCCAGAGTGAAATGTGAGGCTCTCTAAAATGTCCTACAGGTGGAAGTTATGGAGTCTATATGAAGGTACATTTTACAAAATCGTCCTTCAGCAGCTGAGTAATCAGGGGAGCTGGTGTCATTTCTGACTCTCCCACTCAGCAGCAGCTTGAGTTAACATGAAAAAGAAAATCAAGATCTGTTTTTGTTCTTCAATCTTAAATGGCTGTAGGCGGAGGGAGTCATTTCAAGAGTGAACTGCTTCTGAAGGCTCTGAATGGCTTAATTATGCCGACTCACATTTTCGATCTATAATAAGAACCCCCGAGACTATAAGAAAGAACCTAGAAGTTCTGCAGTAGGCAAAACAAAGTCTGTTTTCAACTGAAACTGAGAAAGCAGATTAACATTTAGAAGTCTATAATTTGGTCAACTGTTTTCTAGATGGGTTAGTTAGATAGATGGCAAAAAAAAAAAAAAGGAGGGGTAGGGTCTTAAGTGGGTCTCACCTTTTTTTTTTTTTTTTTTTTAACTTAACATTCATGCCAATTTGTGATTTCTGGCTACTTTTCCTTCCTTCAAATTGCTTCACATCTCCTCAAGTCTATCACTTGAATCCTCAGGGTCAAATCAGCCCCTCTGTGGTCTGGCATAGGCCCCTATTGTGCTTTAAGCCTGGAAATCCAACATAACTCATTTGGAGACACAATCTCCCTATTAGGCCTGATGAAATAGTGGAAATTTTCCTGATCAGAGTCTCACTCATCAGTTGCCACACCTAAGACAACTGGTTTCACAATCAGCGCCTGAGTCTTACTGCTGTGTGACTGGCTGTTGTGGACTCTCATTCTTTCCTATGAATATCGGACAATGAAGGGGTACCTGAAAATGCCCAACTACCACCACCATTTGGAAAAATTCTGCTTAAATAAAAGCAGATATTTGAAGGCACAAAGGTGTCATTTCATCGTGTTGCTTCTGAACATAAGCACTTGACACTTACAATACAGTGCAAAGTCTTTCCTTGGGGAACAAAAATGCCAGGCCTTTAAAACCTTCCCTTGATGGGCACAGAGTGGGGGTTGTGTGCAGAAAGGTTTCTTCATGGGAAGTCAGTGGGGTTGGGGTGACCCCAGTGGACTTACTGTTTAAAGATTTAAAAAATAATAAAACTTTGTCTGAATCCATAAATGACTAAAGAAATGTAAGGTCTTGGGAACCTGAAGCAGGAGGATAGCAAGTTCAAGGCCAGCCTGGGTAAGAGATCCTATCTCAAAAGAAAACGAGTTAGGGATGTTACTCAGTGGCACAGGGTTTGCCTACCACGTGTGAGGACACAGTTAGATCCCCAGTACTGCCAAAAAATAAAAAATAAAATAAAATAAATTTTTAAAAATGTAAGGAGACTCTCAAGGGGAAGTGGCTTGCTATGCTGAGAAAGTGAGGGAGAACAGCACAACTTCCCCCGACATGGCTCTGACAGAACTATGTTCCAACAGTGCCTTTGTGTCTTTTACTACCGGGACCTTCATATTAGGTTAGGCACACACAGCAGAAGGGATGCTGGGTACTTAGCCCTAGAGATGTGACCGGCAGTCTCAGGCAGCACTGAGAGAGGACTGTTGCCATTGGTCAGGGCAGATGACACTCATGATGTTCATGGTGGAAGCCAGTTTGCTCTCAAACAGCCCAAGATCTTTCCCTGGAGTTCAAAAAAGCACCGTAGTGTGTTAAGAGCCATAGACACAGACCTAATTCTAGAATGTGATATTACAGGAGTGGTCATGAAGCTTTTACAGCCCCAGATTTTCAGAAAAATTGCAAATATAGACTCAAGATCCTAAGGACGATCAATAAGCTGAATAGCACATAATAAATACAAATAGCTGGACAGATGGATTACATATAACTAGGGTAAGTAATTAGTTTGTTAATGGGTCCTAAAGTTGAAGTCAAAATGTGATTTATGTTAAAGTTATTATTTATTCCAAATATCCCAAAGGTAAAAATGTAAAGTAAAAACAATTCAGCCTTTAGATGAAGCAAGCAAGAGAGCCTATAAAAAAATTGTCAAGTCTGGGTAAAGGGTAACTGAGAATGCCTTATACCGTTCTTAAACTGTTTCCTTAAGTTTGAAATATTATCAAAACAAAAAGTTACAAAAATTTCAGCATTCAGTTTTAACTTTTGAGCCCAAAAGAGTTCATTTTAAAAGCTGTTATAAAATTTAGTAAGTCTAATCAAGAATATGCAATTATAATTACAATAGAGGTTAGAATTTTACATTAATTCTTAAATTGTTCATAGAGATCACTTGAGAATGATAAAATGAAGGAGCCCTTTACAGAGAAAGGTCATGACAGCATTTTTAACCAAATAAAAAAAAGTAAAAGCTTATAAACCTAAGGAACTGAAAATTTGTTAAGATACAGTGATAGGTGGTTACTGTAATACTGATTAGGAGATCAGATTAATTAGTTTTACCATAAGAAAGGAAGCCAAGATATGAAATCTCTAGGGTTATTCACTTAGAATATACTTGAAAAACTATGACAGAGCCTTTCTAGAAACAACCTTATGTTCCACATAAGACCTTGACTTTATATACAAAYGTGCACCTCTACATTATTTCAATGCACATTTTAAACACCAACAAACTGCCATCAACAAGAGGTGATAGCTTGCATGTTCTGCATGTCTGGACCAATCTCTATTAAACTCCCAACTGCCCCCTTTTGGATAAATTAGAATTGGACACATATTTCTTCCTGTAAGTTTCTGAATTCAATACTCAAAGAAGCTCTTAATATATTTTTTTTAAATGGTCAGGTTACATGACAGGGAATAGGGACTAAAAAATGTTTTTCCTCTTCCTCATCTCTGGTTTAAGCCACCTACTTAGTCCAACAGATGATGAAGCCATATAATTAAACAACCTGTTATTAGCTCACAGGGGCAGAACTGACATTACTGGCATTTTTTATTTTTATTTATTTATTTTTTGTTCTGTAATCCACTTACTGAGATTCATCATTGTGAGCTCTCCAGGATAAGGGTAGTTAAGCCTTTCTGCAAAGTCTCGACAATACCACACAAGAAGTTCCTGGTTGGCAGGGATGGGCTTAATGGTGTAGAAGTAGATGTTCATCCCGTTCTGACACGCAGCCAGATTTTGCTCCCGGGCAGAGTGTGCCGGATTCACATAGCGCATCCAGTTGCTTTTCTCCTCATTAAAGCCATCAATGAAGTGGTGAAGCTCCCCTCTGGAATAGATCTGTCCAAAAGAGAAGACAGACATGTGTAAGAGGAAGTCAGCCAGAGAGGACCTCTCAGCACAGATCACACAGTGTGTGATCGCTGACCCACGCCCCCCACACCACCACCCCAGTGCTCAATTAGAAAAAGAATCAGATCAGTTTGGCCAGAGTAGTCTTGAATCAGCAGAAATGAAGGTGGAAACAGGTAAGGCACATTCTTGTCAGTTACCTTTTCCATTTGAGTTTTATCATCTTTTCATGGTCGGGAAAAATAGTAGAAGAATGAAACACAAAATTTCACCTAAGAAGCGGCCTCAAACCGATTAAACCACCAGAGTACTACTTTTGCTACAGCACGGTCAATGGCAAATGGGCGATGCTACTAACTTTAGTTCCGATTCTGCTGACTTTTAGTGCTTTGAGTCATTGGGTAGAAGAGCAAGCTGACTGACTGCGTCAAACTGAGTCTCAGCTTTTTCTATGGCCTCTGTACTAGCTGTTTCCTACACCTCCGCCCAAGGCTCAGACTATGCAAACATCCTCCACCCCCAACCCTCCAGAGTCCTAAAGTAACACTTGTTCATATGAATACTTGGAACCGTGCCTTTTTGTGGAAGCGCTGGGTGGGGCAAAGGTGAACTTCACCTGCCATAACAAAGGGAGCGCTGGGACAGAGGCCAGAGTTTGACAGTCTACTGAGAAGTCACTTTTCCTCTTGATAAACACGTTCAGCCTTGCACCTTGCTTTCAAGCCAGAGAAGGGAAGAGAGAACCCCTTCTCTGTGGGCAGGTTGGCCAAAACCTCAAGCGAAGAGCCCCAGCCTTGCAATTGTGGGAAAAGAACAGAAAGAAAGGCAGCTCACAAAGGATTCCCAGTTTGTCTTGGAGTAACACCTCTTTTGGTGAACAGAGGCACTCGGGGCACTTTGTAAAAAGACAGAGGTAAGAATAGGAAAAATTCAAGATAAGACTCTTACTGAAATTACATGCTCCATATCCTTCCACAGAAAGCTGCTCTCTCTCCTTCCTCTTAAGAGGTGCCACCTTTTCTTCAGACCCAAGAGCTTTCCTTCAACACACACAACCAATACCTGGTCATCTGCAACCCCAGCCTCTGAGCAGTAGGTAGGGGGGTAGCAGAGATTTTGCTCTAACAGGACAGCAGGCTGTTGCTTTCTTCTGATTCACTTGCTGGCTACGTGAAGTCTGTGAATCGTTTCTCTATTTCCCTCCAATGTTATCAGGAGTTAAAAAAGGAACCCTGTCCCTTTAACACAGGCAGTAAACACCAGAATCACTTTCTTTTAAGAGTAACTTCCTGTAAATTGCGAAGGGGGAAATACATGTGGCTTCATCAAAGCAGCTTGTGAGAGCTTTTGCGGTGTGTTTTGTTAAGAGAAAATGGAACAAGGCTGGGTGAATTCGGCTATCAAGAGGGGTTTTCAAGTTTGTTTACTCTGATGTGCAAACTTCCAGGAACGTGGGGTTCCATCGCTCTAGTGCTCTCCGCCGGCGGAAACTGCTTTCTAAAGCTATGGGTCTGGCGGTTCCAGTCAGCCTTCCACGGACTACGATTTACTGTATCCTCATTCAAAAACAGAACCGTCCATGCCATGAAGTCACACGCACATCCCCACCAGAAAATAAAATAATGCACACGTAAAACGAACCCTGCTGCCTGTCACTCACCTCGCTGCTGCATTTCCATCTATTATCACAAGATTAAAAACGTGCTGACTCATAGTACAGTTACAAGAAATGTCACTGGTTTCTCAACTTGAACACCCCTTCTCTTTGACTGTGTAATTTGCATGAAAGTTTTTCTTTCCTTACAACAGATGTTCACATTCCTGCCAGCAAAATCGGGATGCTTCTAATGACACGTGAGAAGTTATCTCTGACAATATCCTTTGCAAGTGAATGGCTGGACTTTTAGTTACTTATCCTGAAATCTTTAAATGAAATAAGGAAGGGACAGAGAGATTCTTAGGTGTTTCTTGTCTTTTTTTTTTTTTTTTTTTTCAAAATGACCAGGTAGTAAAGAGACTTACGTGGGACTCTGTTAATTCAGACCTTTGACTTTAAGATCAGTATACCTCGATGGCTCACCTCTGAGAAGAATTTCTTGGCAATAAAAGCAAAACATGTGCTCATATTTTTCTATTATAAGTCATGCAGTGAATATGTTGTAATTTATTTTGATCCTGGGGATTGAACCCCAGGGGCCCTTTACCACTGAGCACATCCCCATCCCTTTTTAAAATTTCTAATTTGACAAAGGGTCTCGCTGAGTTGCTGAGGCTGGCCTTGAACTGGCCATATTCCTGTTTCAGCCTCCCAAGTAGCTGGGATTACAGTGTGTGCCACTGAGCTCAGCCAGTGAACACATTTTAAACAAGTGTAATCATTAAATAAAAATTAAGGGTGCATGATTCTTGGTGAACATATATAACTGTTCTCTTTTACTTGGGAAATAGTAAAGTAAATTTCCAGAAACACAAGACTTTCTGGATTAAAAAAAATATATCTTAGGAATAGCTTCTGAGTAACCCCCTAACAAGTCTTTTGTGATACTTGTATAAAAAGCACTAAGATTTTTAGGCCAATTACCAGCCAAAGGAAGCATAATCCAATTTACCATGCAGCCATTTATTTTAGATATGTACATTTTATATAAGTATGTATAAAATTGCTTACTAGGTTTAAGTAAACATTTCTTAATTTAGCAAACTGAGTATCCCAAACACATCTATGCAAAAAGGGATTCTGACTTTTCTCTGTTCATTTTTTTTCCTTTTTTTGGGGGTACTGTGGATCAAACCCAGGGCCTCATGCATGCCAGGCAGACACTCAACCACTGAGCTACATCACCAGCCCTCTCTGTTCACTTCTAATACAGTTTTTTACTTAAGAATTCCATCTCACTGGTTCACCATGGTGGTCCTTCCTAACCCTGATATTTCAAAGGAGGTTGTATACGCCAGACTTTTTTTTTTTTTTTTTTTTTTTTTTTACTGGATTGTAAGCATTTTCCTTATACTATGGAAGTAACTTACATACTGTCAGATTTGATTACTTTTATAGTATAGATGGACTTAAATAGGACAAGTTCTATGGTCCTTCTCCATTCTCCTGGCCCATCTTCTACCCATCCTTCCTTAGTGACATTTCTCTTCAACATAATTCATTTATGATAACTCTTCCATTCAATTAAAGTTAACTCAGCAAGAAATCAAGAAGGGGTGAAATCTAAGGCTTGGTGACTCATTACTACTTCCTTGCAGAGAAATGCAAATGAACCTACCYTTAAAGCAAGCAGCAAACTGTTTCCTTTCATCACAAGGTCTAATGAGTTGCAAAAAATTAAGATTCACATATAGTGCATATCTCCCCCACTAAACACCCATGGGCTGTACTTCCAGAGCCAAACATTTAATCAGTTTCTCTGCACTTGCTCAGAGTTCTCTGTTCCCACAGGGACCCAGCATCTCTTAGCACAGGCTGAAAAAGGAAGTGACCCTGCTCTTCTAGCTCCAGTTTTTCCTAATACTGAAAGTCATGAAAATTTTTCCTTACTTACCCGCCAGAAGTATTTCCTGTTGGCATTCTTGGGGACTGTATCATTGGTGTAGATTTCACCTATTAGGGGTCCAAATCGTGTTCCCTTTGGTATGTATTCTTTACTCACCACCCCAATAACCTAAAAGGGATAAAATACATGAAACAGTTATTTTAACTGCAAAATGTTAACCAATCTTGTTATTCTAACAAATTGAACAGTCAAGTGGTGACACAATCAACTATGGGGAGCAGACATTCATGAGTGCTTGTGCAGGTAACAAACAGTAAGCTTCACCTGAGGGGATACCATCAGTGTGTGGGGTGCTGGGGATTGAACCCAGAGCTTAGGGCCTGCTAGGCAAGTGCTCCTATTGACTATATCCCCAGCCCTGTTTATTTTGAGACAGGGTCTCACTAAGTTACCGAGGCTGGCCTCAAACTTGGGATTTACATAGAAGACCATCTTTTAAAAAAATTTTAAGAAGATCATCTTTTAAAGTTTAAGGTCTAGGGCTGGAGTTGTGGCTCAGTGGTAGAGCACTTGCCTATCATGTGTGAGGCACTGGGTTAGATTCTCAGCACCACATATACATAAATGAATAAAATAAAGGTTCATAAACATCTAAAAAATATTTTTTAAAAAAGTTCAAGGTCTAAGCAAATACTCAACCAAGCATTAAAATAGTCTCGAGGATTATCTTCCAGTGATTGGGAATTCTTTATTTTTATTAACTATGTTTCTTGCTAGAAGATCAGAGAGGATAACCATTCTGCTTTAGATTAAGAACAAGACACTGCAAAATCAGATGGTCAAGATGAGACTTTTTCAGGTCCCCCCTCCTAGTTTCCTATTTCTCATTCTCCCTCAAACCATAAACACAGTGTGCTTGAGGGGAATAAAATAATTTAAACCTCAGAAACCAAAATAATGCTCTTTAGTTGTTCCGCAGAGGCCAAAGGAACCAGAAAGCAAACACATTATGTTTTTTTAATTCTAGATGAGTCCTCCTCCCCTGCCATAGCTTGTAAGTTCTCTTTAGCAGCAGAAGAAARATCTTTCAAGTAACTTTGTACTTCCCTAACATCTTCTACGTGACAGTGGTCAAAAGCCCTCCTTTGAAATGTAATTTATACCGAGAGAGCTGTGGGTTCTAGATCTGAGAAAATGACCTTCTCAGATTGGATGTTTCATGCATTTGCACTTGGCAGGGCCTGGCTAAAGAAACATGTTAACTATGCTAGTTCCTCCTTGATCGTAAATTTCTTGAGGGAATTAAAAAAAAAAAATCACCAACCACGAATCAGGAAGCAATTCATCACTATTCAAAAGAACCCTGTGAGCTGTCCTTGATGACGATTGCAGTTACAGTTTTGCTTTGGTTTTTATTCTCTCACTTTCCCATTTTTATTTTCTTTTGTTCAAAACAGACTACAAATTACTTATTGAATATCTTAGCTGAAATGGACCAAGGATTGGGAGTTGGAGTAGAAGACAATATTTATTTCCAGTTTTTATTATCCTTCCCGTGTAACTGTGTACCTAAAATGGCAGATGCCAATAGCTATTCAAATAGTACACAGTGGAATCTAAGATTTTGGCTGTGATATGTACTGAGATCTCATTTATCTTATCACTGTTTAAATAAGTAGGAAATAAGCACACCTACATTTTGTGACAGACCAGTCTTTCTCATGGAAGTTTTCTCATCAGCAAATGATTTGKTTTCTAAAACAATTTAGTATTCAATATACAAGTTAATGGAGCATACTCAGATTGGAAAGAGAGAAAAAAAAACAGAAAAGAAAATTTCCTAC